AATTTATGAAAAAAAAAGTTTAATAAGCTGATACTCCCGTGTGGCTGGGAGGCCTCACAATCATGGCAGAAGGCAAAAGGCAAGTCTTACGTGATGGCAGATGAGAAGATAAGAACCAAGCAGAGGGGAAACCCTTTATAAAACCATCAGATCTTGTGAGACTTGCTACCACAAGAACAGTATGGGAGAAGGACGGACACTGTGGCTCATTGCCTGTAATCCCAGCACTTTGGGAGGCTGAGGCAGGTGGATCACAAGGTCAAGAGATCGAGACCATCCTGGCCAACGTGGTGAAACTGTGTCTCTACTAAAAATACAAAAATTAGCTGGGTGTGCTGATGCATAGTTGTAGTCCCCACTACTCGGGAGGGTAAGGCAGGAGACTTGCTTGAACCTGGGAGGCGGAGGTTACAGTGAGCTGAGATGGTGCCACTGCACTCCAGCCTGGGCAACAGCGAGACTCCGTCTCAAAAAAAAAAAAAAAAAGAACAGTATGGGGGAAACCACCCCCATAATTCAGTTATCTCCCACTGGGTCCTTCCCACAACACATGGGAACTATAAGAGCTACAATTCAAGATGAGATTTGGGTGGGGACACGGCCAAACCGTATGAGATAAACAGCACGGTCTGAGGATGGCTGATTTGGGGTGGTTCCGGGATGATTCCATGGCTAGCGCTTGTCTCCTTTCCAGCTGCCTTGCAGCTTCCAGCTACCTCCAGCAGGCAGTCTCAGATGGTGCTTTGGCTCCTTTCAACACCTGCTAGTCTCACTTCAGAAGAGACAATGTGTGAGCAGGAGGCCACTCGAAGGCTCGGAAGCTATTTGAATCAAGTTCCACCGATTCCGCTTTCTTCAACTTTTATTTGTACAATTAGCTCTACAGGGAAGCGATGTCCACTTTCCATTTATCTTTGGATAGGAAGTTTTCTCTTCCCAAAATAGGTGTTTGTGTTTTTATTTTAAAATGAGACCATTTAAAGAAGCACATTAAGCCCGTAATCATCGAAGGGCTCTGCAGATTCAGCAGAAATCGGGGCAGCGGTCTTTGAAGGGAGAGAGTTGGGAAACCTGAGTTTCGTGATGAGAAGCCCACACTGAAGGGTGAGGGAGGGCAGAATTCATATCCCATCCCTGCCATCTTCTCTCTGGGTGGCCTTAGGATGGTAATGAAGCCTCAGTTTTCTCTGGAACTAATAATCGTACTTGCAGGAGAGTGCTTTGATGGAGGTTGAAGGCGATTCCACAGAGTGTCAGTTGTGGGACACAGCTGCCCCGGTAGGGACAATCTAATGATGGTTTACACTGTGGGTTACGGGTTCCAGTTAGTACCATGGGCCAGGCTCTAGCCCTAGCACACTGTATCAACACATTTAATCCTGCGCACCCATTTTATGGACGAGGAAACTGAGGCACAAAGACTTTGGAGTTACTTGTTGAAGGACCCTGAGCTAGTACTCAAGCTTTCAGCAAGTGACTCCAAAGTCCATGTCTTTAACCATCATGCCACATGGCACAAAGCAGGTGCCCAGCAAACAGTCACCACGGTGGCTCTGGCTGTCATGAGGTGTATGTTGCTGCAGATGAGAGATTGAGAAGGAAGCTATTGCTTGTCCTCTGGTCCTGTGAAACACAGTTCTCATGTCAGATGACTGTATCAAGTGTGCCCCCAGCTCCCCTGAAATTGTGACTCTCTCTCAGAGCCACTTGGGAAGGAGGCACTGAGTGAAGCCTGCTTCCTGCTCCCAGGGAAGGTGCTAGAGGGAGACAGGATGTCCTGGCCAGCCTGACACAGGTTACAGGTCCCTGAATGAAGTAAATTAGGGTGCACATCGGGGCAGCTGGGAGAGTTGATTGAAAGCCCCATTTCCAGAGGCAGGTGGGGCAAAGGGAGCAAACAAGTGACACAGCACCCCGGAGCTGGCAGCAGAAGGAGCCCTTACTTTCCCTCGGCTTGACGGGGCAAGAGGAGGGAGAGGTGAACTCAGAACTGGGGAGACACTAGAGCCAGAAGGGGCCCCCGGCAGAAGCTCTGCCCACACATAGAGACAGGCATGAAGTCTACTGTCTGGGGAGCTGCTGCGTGCAGGAGAGGGAGAACAAACCCTCTGACTTCCCACTGCCTCCTATGCTGCAGCCTCCCAGCCTGAAGCCAGAGAGCTGGGATGTGCCGACCACGCTGTCCCTGCCCGCAGAGCTTAGCCTCCCAGGGCGCCGAGCGGAGCTGGGGGAGCAGCGGAGCAGGAGGGAACTTTCCTGGGGTTTTTCAATCATAGCACTGCCCAGCGAATACAATGGCCAGCTCCTCTTTGGTGTCCATGGAGGGCGGCTGGGACAGGGCATCAGTGATGGACGCCTCTGAGCCATGTAGACCCAGACCATGGCACAGCCCTGCCGAGCCCGGCTTCCCTCACTCTGCTGAACTCAAAGGACCTTAACAGAACCTCCATTTCTTTCTTTGTCTGATTATTTCTTTGTGCCAAGGCCTGGAGACAGCCATGAACAACATAAGCCTGTCTCTGTTCTCAGGGAGCTGACCCCCTAGTAGGGAAGAATTGGACAATAAATAAGATAGATTGCAGGCTGTAGAGGTGATAACGAGAAATAAAACCAGTTATAAAATGCAGTGAGTGCCTGGGTTGGAGGGCCCACTTTAAATAGGGTGGTCGGGGCAGGCCTCCCTGAGGTGAGGATGTTTGCTTCTTTGACAGAAGAGAAAGAACCAGTAGTACAAAGGAGGAGGTTTTTGTTTTGTTTTTTTGAGAGAGGCTCACTCTGTCACCCAGGCTGGAGTGCAATGGCACAATCTCTGCTCACTACAACCTCCGCCTCCCGGGTTCCAGCGATTCTCCTGCCTCAGCCTCCTGAGTAGCTGGGATTACAATCATGTGCCACCACGCCTGGCTAATTTGTGTATTTTTATAGAGATGGGGTTTCACCACATTGGTCAGGTTGGTCTTGAACTCCCGATCTCATGTGATCCAGCTGCCTCAGCCTCCCAAAGTGCTGGAATTACAGGTGTGAGCCACTGCGCCCGGCCAGGAGTTACTTTTAAAAGAGCAAGTGCCAAGACCCAGGGGCAGAGAGAAGTTTGATTTGTCCAATCAACAGAAAGAAGCCAGTGGGGCTGCAAAGGAGAGGTTGGAGAGAGGTGGTAAGAGGCCAGATCTCACACACCCAGGCAGCCCTGGCGAGAAGTTTGCGTTTTATCCTGTGAGCCATGAGTTGCCAGGGAAGGTGCAGCAGGTGGGCACAGGACTGGCACTAAGGTGAGGCAAGTGCCTGGCATTTGCACAACCTGGAGGTGAGCACCCCCTTCAGTCCGCACCTGCAGGGGGTGCTGTGCCATCTCCTGCCCAGTGCAGTGGCCTGGTCTGTACTTTAGGAAGATCCCTCCGGCTGCCCTGGGAAGAATGGAGGATGAGGGCAGGGAAGAGGGAGGCAGGAGACCCCTCAGACCGCCTTGCCGTCCCCAGGAGAGACAAGGGAGGCAGCACATCCCCCTGCCAAACGTGGAGCCCTCGCTGAGTCCCTGAATTGTGACTTCAAGCTGATAGCCAGGTTCTCCCATGGAGGGCAAGGACAAACAGACCCTCTCAAGGTCACAGCAACACAGCCGCCCCCATGGCATTTGGCTTCCTCCCGGTGCATCTGCAGGCTGTGGCTCTCTGCTCACTCGCTCTCTCGTTTTAAATAAATGATACCAAAAGTCTATATCTGGATAGAACTTGAAGGCTCATTTCCTCAAGAAGTGAAAAAATGACCGCAGAGAGCAAAGAGCAGGGCCAGATTAGAGACCTGCTCGAGCCAGAGTCACCTCCCTGCCTCCCCGCCTCCCTGCCTCCCCACCTCCCACACCCACCTTCCTTGCGACCTAGTCTGACCTGGGGCCAAGGGATGACTGAGGGCAAGCGGCCCGTGGCGGGTCTTCCCCCTTTACCTTTTAGTGCTCAATTTTCTCTTTTGTCATTTTGTTTATTCTGCAACTTAAAACTAATAGGAGGCCTGGCGCGGTGGCTCACGCTGGTAATCCCAGCACTTTGGGAGCCCAAGGCGGGGAATCACCTGAGGTCAGGAGTTTGAGACCAGCCTGGCCAACATGGTGAAACCCTGTCTCTACTAAAAATACGAAAAATTAGCCGGTCATGGTGGTGGGCACCTGTAATCCCACCTACCTGGGATGCTGAGGCAGGGGAATCGGGAGGTGGAGGTTGCAGTGAGATGAAATTGTGCCATTGCACTCCAGCCTGGGCAACAAGAGTGAAACTCCGTCTGGAAAAAAAAAAAAAATCTAATAGGAATACGTTTTTGTCCAATTACAAGATCCCTTAACAAAGTGTTTTCACACACATCCCCAATGAACTGAAATCTTATAATGGCCCTGTCTTATAACGGCCACTGTATTTATGGGGAGCCTGAGGTTCTAAACTGGCTTGCTCACGGAAAAACTGAGCCAGTGAGTGGAGGATCTGGCATTTGAACATGCCAGTTGTCCAGCCCAAAACGTCTAACTCTGGGTTCTTGTTGAAACCCCTGATTGAATCCGCTGCTGCTGGGGAGCTGGGTCTTCATCTCCCTCACCTCTCTACCCCACGGGGTGGGCAGATGCGAGAAGATCACAAGTGTTCACTCCCCAAGACCAGCCCACTGCTGTTCCTCTCCCTGGGGACGATTTGTCTGTGGAACTAGGTGGGTTATTCAGAGACGGGCTGATGATTTGACTCTGGTCTCAGGCTGCCACCGACACATCAGAGGCTCACTGGATCCAGGGAAGAAATTCTTTCTGTAGAAGTGGCCCCAGAAGGCTTTTCTGCCAGTCTGTTGAGCAAGCAAATTGTAAAGTTTGCTAACTTCAGCGGAGTTCGGTTTTCACTCTGCCATAGCCACCCGTTCAAAGAAACTCCCATTGTTCGTGCCAGCCGCCGTACAAATCATTATGCAAGAATGAGCAGCCGGCAGCCTTGACATAAATATTGACCTGATTCTTCCTCCTCCTCTAGATCTGCGAGTAAAGAGGGACGAGGGACAAGAAACAGAGCCACAGACGCAACTTCAGACTCCTGCATCCCGAAAGAAGCACCACATCAGCAAAGAAAAGAAGATGGGCTCCCAGAGCCTCATGCTGTGCTTGCTGTCCGCAACTGTGTTCTCCCTGCTGGCTGGAAGCTCGGCCTTCCTGTCGTACTTCCCCATAAGAGACAGGTTTCATAGGGAACGCAGGAACATCCGCCCCAACATCATCTTGGTGCTGACGGACGACCAGGATGTGGAGCTGGGTAAGCCTTAGGGCCCCAGGGTGGCACCTTGGCCCCACAGTGCAGGGTCCCTGGGCTAGGCTGAGGCTCCTGAGGCAAGGCGGTGGTGGCGACTCATAGAGCTCACCTTTGAGTACATTGAAACCAAGACATGGGCTACCCACATGTGTTTGGGGTCACAACTGGGTCCTCAAGGTTAGGGTCTCTACCCTTCTCCAGTTGCAGAGCCGTTCCTGGATTTCTCCAAAGAGTTAAAACAGGCCAGGCGCGGTAGCTCACTCCTGTAATCCCAGCACTTTGGGAGGCCAAGGCTGGCAGATCACCTGAGGTCAGGAGTTCGAGACCAGCCTGGCCAACGTGGCAAAACCCCATCTCTACCAAAAATACAAAAATGAGCCAGGCATGGTGGCATGTGCCTATAATCCCAGCTCCTCGGGAGGCTGAGGCACTAAAATCACTTGAATCTGGGAGAAAGAGGTTGCAGTGAGTGGAGATCATGCCACTACACTCCAGCCTGGGTGACAGAGTGAGATTCTGTCTCAAAAAAAAAAAAAAAAAAAAAAAAATGAGACATGCGCCTGGAACCAGATTTTGGAGGCTCTTGTGGATTGTGGCAGAGACTGCCAATCATTGATCTGGTGAAGAGCAGTCGCTTAGCCTCTGTCCACTATCAAAGGATAACAGCACATTGTTGGGGGCAACAAATGAAAAGGCTGACTAGGTTAGGCTTGGCAACCTGAATTTGTCTTTTAGCTACCAGGAAAAGGTAATTTACATGAACTAAGTTGTTTCTTGCAATGCTTTGTATTAATGATCACAAGTATAGATTTTTTTTCTTTGGGAGCTTCTCCGTGCAAAAAGAATTTGTAGCCAGGAAGCAATTAGAGCCCAGAGATTTTGTTGACAGTTTGACACATAGGATACCTGTCTCCTGGTAGCATTTAGAATGAGCCACATTTGGTCACCATGGAGAGTCTGTAGACTGTGGCCAGAGAGGTGTGTTTTGTTTGTTGCAGAATTTTGCAGTGAGGTCTTGCAGGCAACACCTGGACCTCAGGGCTTCTCAGTCACACATCCTGTAGCCCCCATGCTGTTTTGGTTGCAGTCATGCCTAGGAATTTCTGATGCCCTGCACATTCGTTCATTCATCCAGCAGATGTTTATTAAGCATTTGTTCCATTCAGTGTACTGTGTCAGGAGCCAGAGAACTGGGGGGAGGTTCATTCCAGGTAGAGAGAACAGGAAATTCAAAGATACTGAGATAGAAATGAGCTTGGTGGTTTGGAGCAAAAAAAAAAAAAAAAAAAAAAAAAAAGGGCCAGGAAGCCGGAGTGGAGGGAGCTGGGGCCATGATGGAAAGAGATGAGGCTGAGGAGTCCACTGGGGCCGGGTCGCACCAGGCCTTGTGGCCATGGTGGGGGCTTTGAGTTTGATTCTTAGTGAAGCAGACATGGATGAGGGTGCCTGAAAAAGAGGAAGGCCGTCACCTCACTTAGGTTCCAACAGGACCCCGACTCTTTTGATGAAAGAAATTGCAGGGGGTAAGGGCAGAAACAGGACGCCCATTTGGAGGCCAGTGCCATGATAGGGTAGGGATGCTGGAAGCTCAGACCTGGGCACTGAGATGTGGTCCCACCTGATGTATGTTTGGGAAATAAACTGATTGATGGGTTAGGTATGTGGGTTAAGGAAAAGAGAAGTTTCAAGGGCAACTCCTAGATTTGGGGCCCGAATGAATAGGTGAGTGTCTGAATACCCACTCTTAGGAACAATATATTTTTACTACCGCAACATGATCCAGCCAAGTGTCATGTCTGAATCTGACTCCATTTTGCGTCTGTGATTCATGAATAAAACCAACAGTGTATGCAGATAAAGGAAACCAATGGCGTATGCAGATACAAGGAAAGGAGCCACGGTTATGAAGTAAACGCAGGAGAGAGGAGAGCAGTGAAAGCCATGGCTGGCTTAAGATACAGAGGTTTCTTCTCTCCTTCTGACAGATGGAAAAACTGGGGCAGAGAGAAGCCACTTGTCCAAGTTTCCACAGCTAAAATGTGATTAAACAAGATTTGAGCTGGATGCCGTGGCTCACGCCTGAAATCCCAGCACTTTGGGAGCCTGAGGAGGGAGGATTGCTTGAGGTCAGGAGTTCGAGACCAGCCTGGGCAACACAGTGAGCCCCCGTCTCAACAAAAAAAAAAATGTAAAAATCAGCCAAGGGTGGTGGTTGGCTACAGTAGCAGCTAGCTAATGGGAGGCTGAGGTGGAAGGATCACTTGAGCCCAGGAAGTCAAGTCTGCAGTGAGCCTAGGTCACACCACTGCTCTCTAGCCTGGGCAACAGAGCAAGACCCCATCTCAGAAAAAAAGAGAAAAACAATATTTGAACCCAGGACCCATGCTTTTAACCACTGCTCTATTTAGCCAGACTCCTGGGATGGATATTGAGTTGTTTCCAGATTGGTAGTGTGTATGTATGTTAGTTTTTCACTGTTACAGATATTGTTGCTGGGAATTTAAACATGCATCTTTGCACAGGCAAGGGAGTGGTTCTGAAGGATAAATTCCAGGAGGTAGATGCAGTGGGTTTAGAGCCCCTGGTGTTCAGTGGCCTCTGTCAGCTCTTACCCAATAGCATTACACTGTATAGATCAGAGCCCACAAGTCTTGACCTCTACAAACAAGCCAGACCTCTTCCACCAGTAGCACTGATCTGGTGAAGCAGCGCTGGGTTTTAAAGAAGGCTGAGCTTCCTCCAGGAGGTGAGGGATGGGAAGGTGGTCATGGGAGGGGAATGACAGGCTTTTTATAAACCACTAGACAGACCCAGATCAATAATGCATGTCCCAAAAAAGCCCAATACATTATCTCACAGTCTGCTACAACTGGCAGTCAGCGGGTGGTCCTAAAAAATTTATCATTTGCTATTTTCTGCCCATCCGCGCAGCAGTTCTGACAGTCCTCTGGGCTGGAGACTTCTCGACTGAGATAATCCCAGGATCCTTCCAGTCCCAGGGCAGCAAACAGCCTTCCATCCTCATTAGGGTCTGGTTGGGAGGACTGGTCCCAGGCACACAAGATGAGGGGCTTGTTCTGTTTCCTTATTGCAGGGTTGCGGGGTCAGGGCTGTACCACGTATGTTCGATTTTCCTTTCCCTGCACACATCTGACTCCCTGAGGTGTCACATGCCCAGGGGAACTGCTTCTAGGGCCATACTAATCCGTGAGGGGACTACATTATCAATACTTGTTCAAAGTAGTTGGGGATATCCCTGTCTTTTGATGGCCCTCGGAGACCCGCTGACTTTTGCTGGCCTTCTGCTCCACAAGAATAAGAGAGGGAGAGACACGTGGAGGTGGTCTTGTTCACAGATGTCCTTTGTTCAGGGACACTGTAGAATCTGTGGGCTCTGCCAGGGTTTACTGGCTTAATTTGAGCCAACCTCTGGGGAACCGGTGGGGCTCCGACAGGCTCTGAGATACCAAGAGGATTAAGACATGGTTCTGGCCTGGAGCAGGAGCATTTCTGCAGCATCCCAGTTCTGATCTGTGACTTGAGAATTTCTTTAACTGGACTTATTTTTGAAGCTTAAATATTATTTTAAAAGGAACACCTAAATTCTGACTGTAAAGGAAACACCAATACTCATTGCCTTTGGTAAAAGATCACTGCCAAACCAAACACAGTGAAAACTTTTTAAATTTCAGCAAGATGCTGCCCCCCACGAAGCTGGTGCGTCTTTGCTGTAGTGAAGGTGATGGGCAGTTTCGGAAGAGGCGTTAAAGGTGAAGTAGCGCCTACCAAGACGTTCTTCTTGACCTGATTAGCAGGATAGAGGCTAGAAAAGAGATGAACTTTCTCAAGTTTTTAATGTAGGGGCCCCACTTACATGGGCACCACGTGGTGGTGGCTCTTGTGTCAGAGGGTTAAGAGCACAGCCAGACTCCAAGCTCCAGAATATTTGGGCAGATTCCCCACTGCTCATTTTCCTGAGTGTTCACACCAGGCAGAGATAGGTGGCTTTTAGTGGCCCTTTCCAATATTAGATTTGAAGTGTGCCCCACGAAACTGGATGCAATGTTTGTGTTTCTTTCTTTTTTTTTTCTTTTATTTTTTGAGACAGAGTCTCGCTCTGTTGCCCAGGCTGGAGTGCAGTGGTGCAATCGTGGTTTACTGCAACCTCCACCTCCTGAGTTCACTTGATTCTCCTGCCTCAGCCTCCCAGGTGGCTGGGATTGCAGGTGCGCCACCACCATACCCAGCTAATTTTTTTGTATTTTTTAGTAGAGACGAGGTTTCACCATGTTGGCCAGGCTGGTTTCGAACTCCCAACCTCAGGTGATCCACCTGCCTTGGCCTCCCAAAGTGCTGGGATCACAGGCGTGAGCCACCGCGCAACCTGATGTTTGCATTTCAAAAGAATTATTTGCCT